TCTTTTTAAAGTGTAATTTCGGTCTGATTGTTAGTTCGTTGTTAATTTTTAATGTTTCTTCCTAACTTGTCTGTGCACTATTAGTGAAGTTCTCCTTCAATTACACTTTTTTTAACCTAAAATACTTAAACTCAAAACTTTATTTTAGAGTATTCGGTTTATTTTCGTTCGCACCAATATCTGTTAGTATTGACATGTTAATTTATTTTTGCCATGAACATAGTATCGAAATAAATAATGAATGACTAATTTGCATGTGTGTGATTTTTGCTGATAAAATATTATTTTAATATAATAATTTGACACATTAATATGGTATATAAGATTAAAATTATACAATTATAATATTTTAAAGAATAAAATTGTACACTTGTATTTAAAGATTATTATAATGAAAAAATAAAACATGTTAAAATATTTCAATCAAGTACGACCAAAATAAAACTAAAATAATATAATTCCACCATTCAAAATGTGTTCATACAATTCCAAAATATAAAACGGGATAACAAAAAATAGAAAATAACTCCTATTAGTTTGGAATTTAAACTGTCTGATATTGGTGTCAACATGTCAAACATGCAGCAAACTTATTTTGTATTTATTTTCTTAATGCAGTTTGAAGGTGCATACAAGATGATTCATGACTTGGAGGAAATGAATTTCAAAGCTACAGCGAACATGTATAATGCTATAATGGCAGGATATTTTCGAGAGGTGACATTTTTGGATTTTGAGGATACTTTTATTCTCATTCAAACTTCCAACTATTTTTCCGCCAGATTTGATTGTTTTGCTTTAATTTCAAATGTAATATGTTTCAATTTTTTTCATTTTTAACAATAAGTTAAAATAGCCTCTTGACATGCATGTATGGAGGCTTCAAAAAGTAGATTGCATGGACATTTTATCTTATATGCTTATACTATTTTTGAACTTTTTTCTCTTCATTATTAAATAAAAATATTGAATTTGTTTCAAATAAGGCATTCTTTTTCTCACCAGTTTTAATATTTTGTAGAAAAACATCAGTGGTGGGTTGAGGGTCTTCAAGCACATGAAAGATGTCAATGTAAAACCTGATTCTCAGACTTTCTTCTATTTGATCGGCAATTGTGAAACGGAAGAGGATATAATCAAGGTAACTTAAGCTTAATGTATGATGATAATACATGACTAGAAGTTGGCCATAAACTCTAATGCTTAAGCCATTTTATTATTGTTTTGTCTAGTTGTCAAATGGTTATTGTAACTTTGAAAGTCTCCAATATTATTCTTTCTCAAAATTAAAGGTAATATTCAATCATTGAGAAAGAAATCAAGAATCCATAACATGATAGTTGTCCTTTCTTTGCAAAGTGTGCCATTGTTTCAAAATTCAAATAATGCGTTCTTTTTTCATCTAATCTAACTTTGACCCACTATTTCCACATAATACAAAGCAAAATCTTATGTTATGCACATCACACAGGCATAAAAAGAAATTTGATTCATATATGTACTAGTTGAATCACTGAAAGTGACAACTGTCACTGTCATAGAACCTAAAACCCCTAACAAAAATAACGGAATGACAGCTGTACAAAGTGACACTGGCAGTTGTCACACTGATTAATTAACTGATAGGGAAGTTTGAACAGAGAAATTATACATTGTTACTGTGTTTGGAAGCCTGGCCCTTGAACAAATTGAAATTTTTGGGTTCTCCTTGAAAGTTTTGCTGCTGAAACAATCCCTGATAATGTGTGTTCTACACATGGAACTGGTTCATATGCTTTGAAGTGTGAATATCATCATGATAATGGGAGAGCTGAAATCAGTGAACTTCCTGTACTTGCTGATTATTAAATGTTCAACCATTCATGCCCAAAAATATATACATTATTAACTGTTAATTTAATTGTTTCTTTATTGCATGCATACTTGTAGCTGCATTCATACATTTGACAAATTGAATGTAACTAAGATTTTATGTTTACCGAAGTTCTGATATTAAGATTTGATGTATCAACATTGAGTTGCTAATTACAATATTTTCTCACAGTATTGTGAAGAAATGCAGCAAGCTAGAGTCCAAGCTACAAAACAAATTTTTATGGCCCTTATTAATTCATATGCAACTTGTGGAAAATTGGAGAAGGCAAAACAGGTATGGGTGTAAGCAGCAACATTGCTACCTGAAATTATTTTTACTGGACCATTAGGGTAATAGAGTCAGTGTGCAAGCTTTAAATATCTAGCTGATTGAACTTGCATGTTGATGAGTAGCTGCACGTAGATTGTCATGTTCACACAGTTATAACTTATTGCTGACAAATAATTTTATCTTTTTAACTGTAAATAGTTTCTGAAATGCAGGCCCTAGCCTTGACACTAGAATCCTTTAAGGATGAAGCATGAAGATTATTTTGGGGGTGTTTGAATTTTGCTAATTTAGCCAACTCTGGTTCTGCTTTAGTTTTGTAATACCTGCTTCAGCTATGTGTATAATGAAAGCTTTCTGCTTATTCTACATATTCTTAGTCATTGGTTCTCAATAATTAATCTAGATGTCCTTTGTTGAGATCCCACATCGATTATAAATTTGAGAATAGTAAAGCTTATAAAGGCTTGAACAATCCTTACTTCCTGGGCTAGCTTTTGGGTTGGGTTACGTTCAATCCAAATTTAAGATGGTATTAAAACCTATCATAGATTTGATTTTGGGCCACCCTTAATTGAAATATAAACTTGGCCTCACAGATTTCTCAGGACAACCAACTTGGTCCCGTTCCAATGCATTATAAAATAAGTCTTTTTGACAATTCTCCATGCTTTAGATGTCAATTCCTGAGCATGAGGCGCATGTGTTGAGATCCCATATTGACTACAAATATGGCCAAAGTAGAACTTATAAAGGCTTGGACAATTCTCACCTCAAGCTAATTTTTAAGATTGAGTTAGGTCCAGTCCAAATTCATGACCTTTCAAGTTCTTCTTGACAGCATATTGCTACAAATATTCATAAAAAGCAATTTTTATATGCCTAAATTAAAAATAAAAATAGAAATATCTTCTTGTACAGGCTAGACCCATATAATCTAATTTTACTTAAGTAAAAAAAAAAGGCAAAATTAGTTCTTTTCTTTATTACATGTAAATATGCATGCTTTTCTACGCTTCTCCTTTTGGAGTGACTTCGTAATGGACAGAACATCTTGTAAATCACCTGTTTCTTCAATATTGGTATAGAGCATAAGTTGTGTTTCGTATTGCAGGTACTTTTAGATCCAGACATACCAAACAAGAGCTTAAATGAAATCAAGAGTGTACTTGTCTCAACTCTTGCATCACATGGGCAATTGTCCGAGGCTCTTCTTGTATATGAGGAGATTAAGAAAGCTGGATATAATTTGGAGCCAAAAGCTGTTATAAGTCTTATTGTAAGGTTTTGTATTAGTGGTTTGTATATCAATCATCTACCTTCAACTTTATAATTAGTTACTCGACATTCTTAGGAGGAGTTCACTCAATTCAATGGGGAATTGGATGGGCTGCTGCTTCTACTTAAGGAAGTGAGTGATCTAGACTATTGGGTTGATGGTTGCTTCAAGGTTATCATGTATTGTATACGGATCAAGAATTTGAGGTTTGATGTTTTACCCCTCCCATATCAAATTTGTTTGTATTCTGCAAGTTGCTTATCTTGATACTTGAATTTTTGGGTCAGTTCTGCTATTCTCTTGTGCAAGCAACTCAAGGATAAGTTTGAAAATGATGAAATAGTAATGGAATCTCTTTTTGATGCGGTGAGTTCTTGTTCTGTCCTTTAATTTTAGACATGTTTTGCCCTTTTCATCACAACTGACAAGTGTTTTTGTGTCTGTGTAGGTATTTTCTTTAATTGCAGCATCCGAGTCCACTCATTTACAGATTGGCCTAGACTTGCTTTGGGCAATCAAGGATGAGCTTGGCCTTATGCCTTCACGACAGTGTCTTGATTTTCTTCTAAGTGCTTGTGCGAATGCCGGAGATTTAAATAATGCTCGCTTGATTTGGAGAGAATACGAGGTTTCTGGATTTCCTTACAATGTATTAAGTTACTTGAGGTAAGTTGTAAGCCTCTCCCTGCTTTTCCCTAACCCTGTATGAGTTTTTATTCAGTATCTATCTTTGGCTCATGGGTGTGGCTGTTAACTAATTATTTGTATGGTTGTAGAATGTATCAGGCACTTTTGGCAGCAGGAGATGATAGATCTGCTCACTTTATGCTTAAGAAAATTCCACAAGATGATGCCGAGGTTTGTTCTGTCATCATAGCTTGTCAGAAAACTTACAATGGTTTTAATTCTGTAGGAGGGAAGAAAAAGCAAGGAAAAATAAAAAAGAAAGAAAAGAGTAAGACTTGAGTACTAGTTCCATCTTGGGAAGAGAGATACCCAATTTTTGTTTGGCTTTAGAAATATGCTTAACAAAGGGTGATGCACCTAATTTAATATTTACTTAACCTATTGATTATCATTGTAGATGTTGGTTCCAATTAATTATATTGAGGGTGGTCCTACGTGATTCAGAATAGGCCTGTAGCCGAGCTAAATGGTACTTTTGGGTTCTCATGTTGTAGGCTAATTGTATCCCATATTATAGCCTTTCATTTGTGGCTTGGAAAGGGGCCTTTCGGGTATGAAGAAGGCTTTTCACTTTTTCTCTTATAGTGTGTTAGAATGAGAAATTTAAATGAAATAATTTATTTGTTTTTTTTAAGAATTTTAAATGCTGAGTTGAAATGTGTTGTTTGAATAGATAATTTTTAAAGAATTTGAAATGTAATCATTTGTAAAAATTCTTTAAATTCTTTCAAAAGCAAATAAGAATTTGAAATTCTTTATTTATTTTTTTCATTTATATATCTTTTATCTCTTATGTTTCCTTTTGTTTCTCTCTCCTCTCTCCTTTTTTTTTTCTCTCCCAAATTCTTTTCTTTGTTCTCTCTAAATTTTATCTCTTCCCCTTGCTCTCTCTCCTCTATTTCTCTTTTCTTTTCCCTCTTTCTATTTTGTTTTTTCTCTTTTCTTATTTATTTACCTCCTACCTTTATCATCTCTCCTTCAAAATCGACATAAAAATATATTAATAATTTATAATTATTAATATTATCTAATACTAATTTTAAAATTATTAAATATTTTAAAAGTTGACTAATATTTATTTTTATAAATTTTAATCTTAAAATTTCAACATATATATGTGTTATTATATATATATATAAATAAATAAATCAATTTTACTCATAATGAAAATTAAATTATCATATCTAAACTAAAAATTTAAAATTTAAAAAATTTGAATTGATTTATTTAAACAAAATATTTAAAGAATGATAAAAATTAAAATTAAAGTAATTCAAGTTTGAGGAATTTTAAATTTCTTTTATTCAAACCCATCAAGTGAATTTAGTTTTAGAATGTATTTAATATACTTTGGAAACTGAATTCCGAAACATTTGTCTATTATTAAAAATACGTTCGGAAAAAGAATAATATTATTGGAAAAATAATTACTATAGCAGGGGTGTCTATTGGGAAAAAAATGGGAGTGTAAAGAGTAGCTCTCTTGTGTTTATGCTTATAATGTTTATCTAATACTGGTTTATTTATGTTAGAAAAATGAAATGAATTTAAGGTCCAAAATTTAAACTTGGTGACCATTCACATGATATAAACAAGTGAAGGAAAATTGGTTGTGGATCATCCACATCATATATCCGAAGTATATTCCTTTTGGTACAATGATTTATTTTTGGGCACAAATCCGAATTATTATTACAATAATTTCTTTTATTTTTACTCAAAAGGGAAAGTAGCCATGGAAATAATAAAGTTATTATTAATTATTACCTCTGCCATGCTATTATTAATTAAGTGTCCCTGGAGTATGCCAAACAGCAGGGAAAGGGTCAACGGCAAGACAATATAAATGAAAAAAACTGCAACAAACCATTAAGTAGCACACGTTAGGATTAGTTATATCACAAAGAGGAAAAGTAAAATTATTAGTCTTATCAGAAAATACTGTAATAAACTATATTGAGAGAATGATATTTATTTTTAAAGCATTCAAAGTTTGTGAACGTGATTAGTTACTGTAATGTGACCAAGATTAGTTATCATATGGGACGATAATAGTTCATATCAATTATATAATTATAATAAATTAATAGAATAGTGAACCCAACTTGCATGTTCTGAAATAGTGAGTGGCAAATTAATTTGGTGAAAAATGTGAGAAACTTCACGGATGCTGCCACGAAAGTGCGACCAATTATGTCAGCTTTTATTAGGCTGCGTAAAATACCCACTTGTATTTCTATATTTAGTTTTGTAAACAGTTAATATTCATATTTATTTTTGCATAAATAAAACCATTATCAATCTTTTACACAAATATAATAAGCATTTCCCTTACTCAGCATGTGATTTTCATGAAACCAATCATCCTTATATTTCTTACAGCCAACTCTATTTGTGCCCAGAAACAAAATTCTCATTGCCTTTTCCAATTGCAATGTATTTACAACCATGTAAATATATATATATATACGACCTGATAATGTACATTGTGCCAATGCTGGAGGTTTTAATTTGAATCACGCTCAATTGGTCGAACAAAAACTATTTTAATAAAATTATTACACATTAAAATTATCTTATTCTCTTCAATCGAGAAAACAAGGCAATGGAAAATTAAAGGGAAAATTATTGCAACTTAATTTTTTGGAAGGAGGGTTCAAGATTCTTAAAGGCAACTATGTTGAAGCAGCCAATTGGAAAGTTGAAGATTCTTGAATGCCCAAACCACAAGACCGTTTCAGTGGAAAAAACAGGACATTCAAATAATAATGTTTTCATATACACTAACGTTATGATAATTGAGCAGCCAACTTGGACTTCATGCAATAATGACAATTGCAACTTGATTTCGTCTGAATCTGAGTGCAAAGTCTCAGAAACTTGGTAGAACCTTCCAATAACCAAACCAATACACCCCCCTAAGACTTTTTTTGCACTTAAGAAATATGATGATATTAAAAAATAAAAAGATTTTAATGAATTATTTCAATCGATAGATTTCATGACACTTTTTAATAGAATTTACATATAATTTACTCATCTAATAATCTCATCAAAATTATTGAGATTTTGCATGATTTCTTTTTCTCATTTATTCCTCTTTCACCTTTTGCTTCGTTCTTTTTTTTTTATTATTTATTTATTATTTTTATAAATTATTATTACTATTATTATTATTTTAATTTTTTTATTTTTCCTCTCATTTTCTCTTTTCTCTCTTTCTCCTCTTTGTGTCTCTTCCTTATTTCTTTTTTTTTTTTCTCCGGTCTCTTTTTCCTTTCTTTCTTTCTCTCTCTTCTTGTGTCTTTTTATCTCATATTCTTTTTCTCTTTTTTTCATCACTTTCATTTATTTCTTCTTTTCTTTATTTTTTCTTTTATCTTTTTTATTTATCAATATTGATGCATAATTTATCAATATTTATATTTTTAATTATTAAATATTATATATTGTTAAAATTATTAAAATTATTAAAATTTAACAAATGTTTATTTTTAATAAAATTTAATATTAAAAATATCAAAATTTTAACAAATTTTTATTTTTAATAAAATATCAAAATTTTAAACATATATTAAAAATATATTTTGCAATTCTCCCAATTAATGAATATCATTAATTTGAACATATTGTTCAAATTCAATAGTATATAGTTGTATTGATTAATTAAATGATTGAAGGTTAAATACTTTTTTCCTCTTATTTTTATAAACCCATTTATTATATTTTATTTTTATATTCATGGTGGGTTAACTCTCACTCCCATATATTTAGAATTTGGATTACAATTTTTAGGAGAAAAAAGTATTTAAACCCCTTAAAGTTTATATTTTTTGTAAATAAATACCACAAACTTTAAGTTTATTCCAATTGATCCTTAAACTTTGTCTTGTTAGCAAATAGATATCATAAACTTTAATTTTATTATAATTTATCCTTAAACTACTTTACCATTTTTACAAATAAACACCTCAATTATAATTTTATCTTAATTATTTTTTTATAAGTCCCTTATATTACACTGAGATTAAATTACTGATAAAGAAAATATTAATCATTTATTTATTTTAAATCTCACTTATTTATTAATTTTTTGGTATATATATATTAGTTTTATTTTCATATATATTAAAATACCATATATAATTTAGAAGAAGAAAAATCAAATAAAGCCTACTTTTTATTGTTTTTATCATCCTTTTATATATATATATTTTTTCTAAACTCATATTTTGAAGAAAAAAATTCTAATATAAAAAAGAAAAAAATTAATGAGTGATTGAAATTTACGATAAATAATTTAACTCTAATTTAATAATAATTTTTAAAAAAATAATAATAAATTATCAAATATTAATATTAATTAGAATGAAATTAAAATTGTGGGTGTTGACTTATAAAAGAAGTAAAGTTTAAGGATTAATTAAAGTTTATAATATCTATTTACAAATCTGATAAAATTTAAAGATTAATTAAGATAAAATAAAAATTTATGATACTTATTTGTAAAAAAAAGTATAATTTAAAATAATTGATTTTTTTTTCTCCCATTTTTAACTCAGTTTTGAAAGAAAAAAGCTCAATACCCCTTAATATTTTTAGCACGCTATAGGTATAGACATGTGGACTGATTTTGTCTTTGTTATTTATATTAATAAGTCAAAAACTCTAGTTGTTAGTGTATGGTATTATGCAATGATTTTTCACAATTTTCTAAAAGAAATTAAAATTATTTTTTACTAAAAAATTATTCAACAATCATGGAATCACCCTTCACATCCAGAAGCTTAATACAAAAAAAAAACTCAGGGAAAATCACACAAAAATAACTTAGAATTTGTTCAAGTAAACTTCTAAAAAAAAAAAAAAAACTTGCAGTAGAGAAAAATAAAAAAAATTAAAATTAAATTCTCCATATAATTGACCAACTTATACCAGAACAAAAAATAAAATTCGAAAGATATTAATATATATGAGCTTATGTATAAATTAATTTTAGGTAATAAAAAAATAATTTTATTTTATTTATTTCTCTCTTTTAGGAGTATTTTTGAAAAAGTTTATTCAAACAGAAAAAAAATAAAATAAAATAATTTTTTTATAAATTAAAATAACTTATTCATAAACTAATTTATAAAAATTATCTCCTATTAATTTATTTAAAATCTTGTTTGTCAAGTAATGAAAACCATGACTTGAGACTCAGCTGTTAGCACAGAACAGTTTCCTTCTCTTAGGCCTGTTTATTGAAATCACTCTTAAAAATAAGTCATTCGCAATTTGCAGTGTACTTCGAGACAAAAATGATCAATTGGTGTGGCTAGAACCTTTTTCTTACCAAAGGGAAGAGAGAGAAAAAGGAATAAAATAGAAGAGTTGATGTGGTAGCTTCTCTTATTTTCTTTCTCAACAAGAATCTTCCAGTAAGCACTTTTAGTTTCTATAAGCAAAATGAAATTGCGAGGTGCATGTTATTTTATAAGGGACTATAAATTGAGATTTTAAATAAGGTTTTTGATTCCTATGTTATTGCTATTATATAATTAGTCTCTTAATTCTAGATTGTGCAATTGTAGTCGTGTTTTGATATCTTTTTAAAGTGTAATTTCGGTCTGATTGTTAGTTCGTTGTTAATTTTTAATGTTTCTTCCTAACTTGTCTGTGCACTATTAGTGAAGTTCTCCTTCAATTACACTTTTTTTAACCTAAAATACTTAAACTCAAAACTTTATTTTAGAGTATTCGGTTTATTTTCGTTCGCACCAATATCTGTTAGTATTGACATGTTAATTTATTTTTGCCATGAACATAGTATCGAAATAAATAATGAATGACTAATTTGCATGTGTGTGATTTTTGCTGATAAAATATTATTTTAATATAATAATTTGACACATTAATATGGTATATAAGATTAAAATTATACAATTATAATATTTTAAAGAATAAAATTGTACACTTGTATTTAAAGATTATTATAATGAAAAAATAAAACATGTTAAAATATTTCAATCAAGTACGACCAAAATAAAACTAAAATAATATAATTCCACCATTCAAAATGTGTTCATACAATTCCAAAATATAAAGCAAACACTTGTGCGACCAAAATAATACCAAAATAATATAGTTTGACAAATCCAACATGTGTTCATACACAACCAAATTATAAAGAAAATACTCAAATCAAGTGCAACTAAAATAACATCAAAACAATATTGTTCATCCTAGCTTGTACTTTATCCAATTTGAACGCTCTTTTATTGACAACATCAAGAAAAAGTCTTTCTTTGCATTAGTATTGAGGAAATCAGCTGACATGTAGCGAGTTCGAACATCCAAATTTGGGATCTCTTTTATGGCACTCCAAAATATTTCCCTTTGCTTCTTGGTATCTTTCTCTTTTTTCCATCAAGTTAGACATTTTTTCAAAATTGGCGGCTATAGTCTCAATGCCAACAAATAGATTTTCTAGAACTTTGGCTTGACTATTGTTCCCAATTGAGTTAGAACTCACTCCATACTCAGACCTACTCCACTTACAATTAATTGGTTTTTCAGTGGGAACCATTGAACTTAAAGGGGGTTGAGGTGTTGAAATTCTTGGGTGAGGTGATGGTGGCTAGTAAGGTAGTTCATAGTGATCTGGTGTTATGGTGTTATGAATACATCATTGTTAAGATCTAGTGTTATGAATACATCATTATTAGATACTAGAATGTCTTATGTTAATTTTCTTTTTTTAAAATATAAAAAAATCCAAATTTCACAATATAAAAATTAAAATAAAAATTCATAGTAAAAGATAATAATTGTTGAGTCATAGTGGTTATGAGGAGTTGACATATGATATACTATCACATGTTCAAGGCCATCCTTTGGCAATTCAAGTATTGGGCTCATCTTTGTTTGATCGAAATATCTCACAGTGGAAAAGTGCACTGGTTAGATTTAAAGAAAATAAAAGTGACAATATTATAGATATCCTGCGATTAGCTTTTGATGAGTTGGATAACCTAGAGAAGGAGATATTTCTAGATATTGCTTGTTTTTTGAATAATGAAAAGGAAGAATGGGTGATGGAAATTCTAGATTTTCGTGGACTTCATCCTGAATATGGTCTACAAATTCTTGCTGAAAAATCGCTTATAACCATTGAGGATGGGGATATTCGTATGCATGGCTTGTTGATAGATTTGGGAAGATGCATTATTCGAGAAAAATCACCTAACAAACCGATAAAGTGGAGTAGGTTATGGGATTACCAAGATCTATGCAAAGTTATGTCAGACAATATGGTAAAATATTATTTGAGTTTTTAAAATGTTAGGTTGTCATTTTTCTACAATCTATAAATGCTCCCAAAGATCTAACATTTTCTTCCCTTTTTACATTATTATAGGAATCTGTAATAAATCATGAGGCTATAGCTGTTGAGGATTTCCTAATGGAGTTTGATGAAACAACAATAAGGGCTGATGCTATATCAAAAATGAGTAAACTTAAGTTTCTCAAACTTGTCTTTTTGAACTTTTGTGGCAACCTCGATCATCTTTCGAATGAGTTGGGGTATCTTAAATGGTTCGGATATCCTTTTAAGCACTTGCCTTCAAGTTTTCAACCGAACAACCTTATTCATCTGTCCCTACGTAAAAGCAACATGAAACAAGTGTGGAAAGATAAAAAGGTAGTGTAAATTGTTATTCTAACTTTTCTATTTTGTTTTTCTATCAATTAGCAAATAATAAAAAATACAAACTCTATTATGTTATTTACTTTTTTCTCAGATTAATTAAAGAAAGCAAAGAAAGCTGGAATGTTATTATTAACTTTGTTTGCTAATATTGTCCCTTCACTGCAGCCTCTACCCAATTTAAGACATTTGGATCTCGCTCATTCCAAAAACCTAATCCAGATACCAGATCTTGGGGAGGCCCCAAATCTTAGGTTGTTGGATTTGAATGGATGTAAAAAACTCAGGCAGCTTCATCCATCCGTTGGTCTTTTAACAAAGCTGACTCTTTTGAATTTGGAAAAATGTAAAAGTCTTATCAAGACACCACATTTCAGAGAGAACCAAATTCTTGAAACACTAAATTTACGAGGATGTAGACAACTCGAGGAGATCAATCCATCCATTGGTCTTCTGCAAAAGCTTACCTTTTTAGATTTGGGTAGGTGTGAAAATCTAATAAGCTTACCCAATAGCATATTGTGCCTAAGTTCTCTAGAATATTTGAATCTCTCTGGCTGTCCGAAATTGTTTAATATCCAGTTGTTACATGAAGCAAGGGATGAAGAGCAAATGAAGAAGCTTTGTATAGGTGAATCTCCAATTTGTTCGCACTCAACATCGTCCATCATGAAAAGGTGGTTTAAGTCACCTTTACATTTGTTGCAATCTAGAGCACATAAAGGTTCGGTGAGTCGCTTGTTGCCTTCCTCGCCTACACTTGCTTGTATGCGTGAACTTCATCTAAATTTCTGCAATTTAGTTCAAATACCTGATGCTATTGGAAATTTACATCTCCTAGAATCCCTATATTTAGAGGGAAACAATTTTGCCACACTGCCAAGCCTCAAAAAGCTTTGGAAGCTGTACTATTTAAATTTACAGGATTGTAGGCAGTTGAAATATTTTCCTGAGCTTCCTTCGCGAACTGACTTGTCATCAGAAAGATACCAGTACCCAGAGTATTTAAATAGGGATCTTTATGAGATAAGAGAGCATTTGAAATTTGAAGTTTACAAGTACAAGGAAGCAGGATTAAATATTTATGGTTGTCCAGAACTAGTTGAGTTGGAATGTTGCACTAGCATGGCATTTTCATGGACGAGACAAATTCTTGAGGTATGTCCACTCCTTCCTTTCTTTCTTTTTCTTTGTGTGAGTGTGTGGGAACTAGGAAGTAACACATAGTTGTGTTTGTGGTTTAGGCTCATTACCAATACAAACGTCCGTGTTTGTCCTACAATGATGTGTTTCCTCTACGCATTGGAAGTGTTATTGGAGGAAGTGATATACCTAGCTGGTTCAGCAATGAGTGCGTAGGCATAAGTAGTTTAATAACCATAGATAAATCACCTCTTATGCAGAAAGGCAATAATTGCATTGGTCTTGCTTGTTGTCTAGTATTTGGACCTCCTTCTGGAATAATGGCTCATCCCGAAATAGAATCAAATCATCATTTTCGTGCTGAGATTCCGTTGTTTTTAGGAGAAGATCAAGTCACTAAAGATCACTTGTGGTTGTTCTATTATGCTTTACCACAATCCTTGTTGACGTGCAGGGATCCACATTGGAAATTGGAAATTGAGATAACAAACATTGAAAGTTGGACTTTTGAGGTGAAAAAATATGGGTATCGTTGGCTTTATGATAAACACCTAGAAGTATCAAACTTAATAATGATGCCGAGTCCAAATTCGTGAGCTTGGAAGCACAACCTTTTGGCAATTGAGGAAACCAAGTACCAATTGCATATTTCTGCTACACTTCCATCATATAGAAGCATTGGAGGCATCATGGAATATGTATGCAAGATTAGTATCAATAGACCAAACAAGGATTCACAGTAAAATTGCAATTCATAATAACTCCATGGATATCTTTACAAGTTGCACTTAGATGAAATTTAGTGCTAATTTTTTTGATTACAAATGGAAGAAATGCTCTTGGTCTTTTTTTTTTTTTTTTTTCTTTTTTTTTAAGAAATGTAAAGCATATTAAAGTTGTTCCATAATCAATTTCCACATCTTGCATGTTGGGAAAAGAAACCTTCAAACAGCGGAAGTGCACACACAAAAATAGAGAAACAAAAACAAACTCAGAAATTAACGTGGTTCGACACTTCTTACTTACATCCACAAACACACTCTGCAAATTATTTTATTTCTCTCCACTTACAATTTTTACAAGTACAAAATTTCAAACCCTCTCATTCACAAGTTTTCTGGAAAAACTTGGAAACCTTCATACACAAGTTTTCTGGCGAAACTTGAAATCCCTCTCATGACACACAACTACCCAAGTCTCCAATACACCTATTGGAACCAATGTTGTTGTGGTGAGTAGACCCAAACTGTCACCCCTTATATATAGTAATAGTCTACCACTTCCCTTCTTCAAACTACCCAATGTAGGAATTTGGAGGATACCCACACACTTTGGGCACAACATTGCATCTGTAGGATCCTTCTGTTGGTAAGCATATGATTATTTATTTATTTTTTTTTTATATGTTTCTAATCCTTTTTAAATTGACATATAATAACATATGCTACTTTTGTTTTTCAAGTTATACTACTCATTATCACAAGAGATTTTAAAAAACGATTCCATGTATTGGTCAATGTAATAATTAGGACATTAAAAAAAGAACAAAATTGTAGACTAACTAGAAAGGAAATGAAGGAAATATATTTGAAGTTTGGCTTAACTTATCTTTGTTTTATGCATTCAAGTCTTATATACTTAAAGAAAATAGAACTTACTTTTGTTTCATATTTTGATCCAAACAGTCATTGCCTTGTTCCTTGATATTGAAGGGCATGACTAGTCTCAAGGATTTTGATTCTTAACAAAATAATTGGAAAACAAAATGCATTATTTGTTGTAATTTTTTGGAAACTAAATTGAAGATTGAACAAACAAGGAAAATGCTTCTAAAAACCCAAAATGATTGTTAGAGACACAATTTTACTCAAATTGAAAATTGAAGATTTAAGTTGCTTAGAAAGGATAAATTTTGTTGGGATACAAATAAGTCTCACATCATTTAGAAGAAATATGGGTATTGTTGGCTTTACGAGAAACACCTAGAAGTATCAAACTTGATAATGATGCACAACCCAAATTCGTGAGCTTGGAAGCACAACTTTTTGGCAATTGAGGAAGCCATGTACCAACTGCATATTTCTCCTACACTTCCATCATATAGAAGGATTGGAGGCATCATCGAATATGGATGCAAGATTAGTAACAATAGACTAAACAAGGATGCACAGTAGAATTCAAATTCACAATGACTCCATGGATATCTTTACAAGTTGCACTAAGATTATATTTAGTGCTACTTTGTTTAATTACAGATGGAAGAAATGCTCTTGGTCTTTTTTTTTTGATTTATTATTATTATTTAAAAAATGTAAAGCATATTAAAATTGTTCAATAATCAGTTTTCACATCTTGCATTTGTAGGATCCTTCTGATTGTAAGCATATGATTCTTTTTCTTTTGTTTTATATGTTTCTAATCATTTTTATATTGACATAATAATATTATGCTCCTTTTGTTGGTTTTATACTACTCATGATCGCAACAAGAGATTTTAATAATCGATTCCTTGTATTGGTCAATGTAATAATCGTGACATTAAAAAAAAGGAACAAGATTGTAGAATAACTAGAAAGGAAATGAGGGAAAATATATTTGAAGATTGACTTTAAGTAGTAACTGTTGCACTTTAAGTTTTGTTCCTTGAGATATCTGTTACAACTAAATATTCATATTAAATGCATGTGCTTTCCTTCTTTAAGATGAGTCTTAGATGGAGGATGGTGTTATTGTAATAAAAATCCCAAATTCTTCGATGACTAAAAACTGTTATTATTATTATTATTTTTTATAAACATGGTTTACGTAGTCTCAAAATTAATGATTAATGAATAATTTACACTTACAAAAATATGATTTTATTGACCAAACATTAATTTAATACTCGATAAACCCACTACTCATGTCTTAGATTGTAAAATTATTAGGTGATCATAATTACATAATCTCTAACTAGTCTCTATATAATATGTAATAAAGGGTTATTAATTTTTTCTTGTAAAATAAAAAACTTAAATACATGTATAGTAATTGGTTGGGGTCATAGACACGTGATAGTCTTGAACTAACCAATAATTTGTCCTCAGAACATGCCATACAATTGCTGGACCAAGAGGCTCGGTTCAAAAATTGTTAATTTTGAATTATCAAAAAAGAAAATAGAAACATATGTTTGGACCTTACATTTATGAGTTTATATGACAAACCTTATTGAATAACCAAGGTTATGGGGGAAAAATCTGATTAGCCCTGGTAACATGTAAAACAAATTTGTGACCGTTTGGAAGCTTTTATGATCCTATATGTGAAAAACATAAATCAAGCAACATTTGTTCTTCCAACTAGTGTTTGTTATCAAGAAACTATAATCATGACCCATTTCTAGATCAAAAACCTATATATACTTCAATGTTTCTAAAAGTTGAGAAAAATCTAACAGCTTTCTAATTTGTCTGGATCTATATCTTGATAGCACATTTCCATCATTTGATTTGGGCATGTGCTTTGGGCATGTGCTTGAGAAATGATAGGGGGAGCCTTCCCACTTGCAAAAACTGTGTTCTAAGGGTATAATTCTAGTTGTTTAGGTAAAGGCTTTGGTCCTTTTTTAGGTAATTAACTGGTTGACTGATTTGAGTTTCAACATGTTATCTCTTGTTAGTATATAATAGTTGTCAAGGGAATAGTTGGAGGAATAATAGAAACTTATTTGTATTGAGAGAATAGTAGTAGTTGTGGTAATTGTTGTTGATGTTGTTGATGTTACAATGAAGATCCAATTTGCCTATTTATAGGCATGGTACTCCATCTCTAGATGATGGTGGAAATATCTAGAATTTTCTATACTATTTAAGTCTCTACACTTTTTTAGATTTTTCTAGAGACTTATACACATTTATTGTGCCGAGAACTGACTTGAGCGTCGGAGTGTCTTTGCAGGCACCCCCCACTTCGTTTCGGATCATTCGGACAATTACAAGAAGACCGAGACCCAAGACCCGACCCGTAACGACTAAGACAATCAAAAGTGTGTATCCTAATACAGGAACATAATCATTTGTAAAAATTCTTTAAATTCTTTCAAAAGCAAATAAGAATTTGAAATTCTTTATTTATTTTTTATTTCTTATTACATTTATATATCTTTTATTTCTTATGTTTCCTTTTGTTTCTCTCTCCTCTCTCCTTTTTTTCCTCTCCCAATTTCTTTTCTTTGTTCTCTCTAAATTTTATCTCTTCCCCCTATTTCTCTTTTCTCTTCCCTCTTTCTATTTTGTTTTTTCTCTTTTCTTATTTATTAAAATGTTTTGTATGTCATTTTTTTAACTTTTATACCTATGTGTTATATTGTTAAGTCTCAATTTTACCTCTTTTTGGATGAGACTTATTGAACAAATTCCACTCATCCTTTGAACCATTGCAATATAATTGTTCTCTTTTTGGTTCATTTTGTGTGCAGATATAACTAACCCAAATTAATATTTTATATTTAATTATGTCATACTTGATTTTTGAGGAAATTGTTTTTTACATTCCTTTTCATAATTTTTTTGACTAAATTACACTTTTGGTCTCTTTATTTTTATTAATATGCAATTTTAGTCTCAGAGACATCTAATCCCTCTAATTTTAAAAATACAGAATTTTGATTCTCCCATCAAATTGACATCTAATAACTATTAAATTTTAACGTTTACTCATATTAAAGTAATATAACATTTAGTAACATGACATTTAAAAATAAATAAATAAAAAAATTACAAATAAATTTTTTATTAATAAAATAAATATCAAATACCCATAAAAATATTTACAAATAAAAATGTTTTGTATGTCATTTTTTTAACTTTTATACCTATGTGTTATATTGTTAAGTCTCAATTTTACCTCTTTTTGGATGAGACTTATTGAACAAATTCCACTCATCCTTTGAACCATTGCAATATAATTGTTCTCTTTTTGGTTCATTTTGTGTGCAGATATAACTAACCCAAATTTAGCTAACAATACCTTAATACACCTCATTTTTGTGCAGGTATTGAGCTAGAGAAGTGAGGATTGAAGATTCTTAGGATTGGGAATCCAAGAGGCTAAGGAGCAGAGAAGAAATTGCGCC